CTCTAATGGAAAGCTTTGTTTAAGCTTTTATAGTCTCTTTTGCTCAGCTTCAGGATTCTGAGGTTCTGTCTGTAGACTCCAGTACAACTGATGGATATATCACCCACATTTTTAGATGGACTTTCTGTGATTTGGTTAATAGTGAATGAATAGTAGACTGCAACTTAAGCAAAGTAGACATACTTATCAGCCCAGTGTTGGCATTTAATTGCCCTGCATTGTGCTTACTACCTCAGAACTCCCTCTGGTATAAGCTGTAGTGGTACTGCATCTAGACTCATTCTGCATTGCTGGAGGTGTTTGTAAGCTCAGTAGAGGCAGAGGCATATACTTGCAGGGGATGATACAGGTGGGTTTAGGCTTTCGGTGAGTTCAGCTGCCTCCTGGAAGTGCCCATCATCTGTCTTCCCTGGCAATTTAGAGAGTGGCTTGCTAATTGAGATACATCCTTGGAACAGGATTAATTGAACCCCTCCGTACCCTTGTATCAGTTTTTTTTTTTATCCTTCTGGTGAATGTTGTCCAAGGAGAACAGCATGCTATACTGGCACCTCTGTTAGTAAGCTGACCTGGACAGTGTGTTACCTGCAGCTTACAGCTGCAAGAGAGTTGGTAGAGAGTATTATAGTCAGAAAGGTCTTACCTCTCTTGCTTATTATTCTTGTAGATGAACAAGTTTCTCAGTGCTGCGCTATGGAAACTTGTAGTAAGTGTAGTGGCGAAGATCTGATGTTTTCCTTTAGGATTTAACAAAAAAAAAGCTCTTTCTGTAATGTCCCTTTTGTCTGCTTATTTTCTGTCAGATTATTTCCTGTCTGGATGTGAATCCTAAAATGAAAAAAACACCAACACCTAGTTTAATTCTTAGTTTTACTAGAAAATTGCTACAGTACTGCTTTTTAAGAAGTCTTTATTTGTTTAGCTGTAAGAGATCTTTGCCCAAATATAAGGACTGATAAATGTAATGACATTAAAGAAATCCAGTTACCTTTCCTGACTAAAGGCCAGACCACACACAAGTTAGGTTTGGACACCTAAATTCAAAAATCCCTTGCTCAGCATTTTCCTAGTCATGAAGTGTTTAAATTCAGATAAATAGGGCCACCTTCACCCGTAAGGCCATGTTAAGGCCATTGTATCCAGTTTTCCCAGCAGGTATTCTCCCAATGGCCTCTTTCTGTCTGCCAGCTTGACATCTAGTAGAGCCAATGTGTAACAAAAATATGCTTCATGTGCCCCTGGAAATGGAGTGGGGTATTGCCTACATTTTGAGGAAACTGTGAAATAAACTCTAGGAAACCACTTTTGCCTTTGCCTACTCCTTCCCTTCTTCTTGTATGTGTGCACTTTTGACACTGTCCCGCATGACTTCCTTGTTTCAAATTGGAGAGACATGGATTTGACGGATAGACCACTTGATGGATAAGGAATTGGCTGGATGGTTGCACTCAAAGAGTTGTGGTCAATGGCTCAGTGTCCAAGTGGAGACCAGTGACAAGTGGTGTTCCTCAGGGGTCGATATTGAGACCAGCGCTGTTTAACATCTTTGTTGGTGACATGGAGGGTGGGATCAAGTGCAACCTTGCTGATGACACCAAGCTGTGTGGTGTGGTTGACACGCTGGAGGGAGGGGATGCCATCCAGAGGGACCTTGACAGGCTTGAGAGGTGGGCCTGTGCAAACCTCATGAAGTTCAACAAGGCCAAGTGCAAGGTCCTGCACATGGGTTGAGGCAATCCCAAGCACAGCTACAGGTTGGGCAGAGAATGGATTGAGAGCAGCCCTGAGGAGAGGGAATTGGGGGTATTGATTGATGAGAAGCTCAATATGACTCAGCAATGTGTGCTTGCAGCCCAGAAAGCCAACCATATCCTGGGCTGCGTCAAAAGAAGCGTGACCAGCAGGTCGAGGGAGGTGATCCTGCCCCTCTACTCTGCTCTCATGAGATCCCACCTGGAGTACTGCGTCCAACTCTGGGATCCCCAGTACAAGAAGGACATGGAGCTGTTGGAGCGAGTCCGGAGGAGGGCCACGAAGCTGATCAGAGGTCTGGAGCACCTCTCCTATGAAGACAGGCTGGGAGAGTTGGGGTTGTTCAACCTGGAGAAGAGAAGGCTCTGGGGAGGCCTTCTAGCAGCCGTCTAGTACCTGAAGGGGCCTACAGGAAAGCTGGAGAGGGACTGTTTACAAGGGCATGAAGTGACAGGACAAGGGGTCATGGGCTTAAGCTGAAGGAGGGTAGATTTAGATTAGATATAGGCAAGAAATTCTTCTCTATGAGAGTGGTGAGGCACTGGCACAGGTTGCCCAGAGAGGTTATAGATGCCCCCTCCCTGGAAGTGTTCAAGGCCAGGTTGGATGGGGCTTTGGGCAGCGTGGTCTAGTGGAGGGTGTCCCTGCCCACGGCAGGGGGGTTGGAACTAGATGGTCTTTGAGGTCCCTTTCAACCCAAACCATTCTATGATTCTATGATGAGTCTATGTGCATTTCCCTTCTGGTAAACCATCTTCTGTGGCAGCTATGTGGAGAACGTGATGTATAGTCCTATCCCATCAGCACAACATACTGCCACTGAAGGCTGCAAATCAGACTGTTCATTAGGGTGTGATTACTGCTGTGCAGTGATGAACCCCATGGAGCTTGGGGAGGACCAAAGAACTAAATGGGCAGAGCTGTGTTTCTCTTCACATGGGAAAGAGCTACTCGTTGAGCCAAGGCAGCCACAGGGCCAGGCTGTGTATGCAAAGGGTGCTGAGCAGAGGATGCTGAGCCTGGGAGAGCATGGGGCAGGCCTTAGTGATGGAGGGCATTTATTGGGTTGGGAAGGCAGAGGACTAATGAGGAAGAGATGGGACACTGTGTCCCTTGGATTTGTTATGCTGAGTGCTCCCTATGTGCAGGTGTCTGCCAGGCATAGCAGGGGTGCATAAATTCAGTGTATTACTAGAAGGTTAGGAAAAGAACATATCAACTAAATAAAGATGTGAACTTCATTAAAAACAGCTACGTTAGGAAGGATTGTCTACTCTAATTGTTCATGTTCTACAAGATGCAACTTAGGGCTCAGCTGGACTCATTCCCAGCGTTCATAAATCTATGCATGAAGAAAGCAGAGCGCTAAAAGTTCCTTTGGGGTTTTTTTGTTTTGCTTTTTGTTTTAAATTTTGAAACTCGCATTTAGTGTGTATATTTTAACATGTTCATGTGAAACACATCAAAGTAAACACATGCAGTGTGTTTCTTTCACTGTCATTAATCACTGTAGTGTTCTAAAAAGTAACAAAAAATACACTAATGTTAAACTGTGGTCAAGAATTGAAATATACACAGCTCTAGAAATTTCAGGTTTGCCTTTGCCAGGGCAAATGTGGCTTGACAACCGTGTGTGTTTATGTATCAGCATATGAAGCAAGTCTGGCTAGCAAATATGGACTTTTTAGTTAAAAACCCTCAATTTATATTGAAACTTTTTAAAGCACTTTTTCAATCCACCTGAAGACCCAGCTAAAAAGTCAGGGGAAGAAAATGACTGTAAATTCTCCAAACCTCTCTGAGAACTGTAATCCTCCAACACTTTATCACAAAATGCACTTGCTTTTTAAGCCCTGCTGATGTCTTTATATGGGCAATTTCTGTTGGTGACACAACTGAATAACCAGGAGTGGATGTGAAAGATGAGCATTATTTGGGGCTTTTTTTGCCACTGAGATGTGTTGGGGATAAGCTTTCAGCCAGAGTGGAGGACAGTTATTTTTGGTTGTACGTGAGGTTCCTACATCCCTGTTTTCCGTAGAAAAGAACTGTGCTATGTCCCTCTCTGCAAGCCTGGATGCTGCTGAAAGGGGAAGGACGATGTGGCGCTTCTGTTCCTTCCAGCAGTCTCCTTCGTGAATAGCTGTGCAGCCCGCCTCTGCTGCTCTTCTCTACTTTTCTCAGCAGCACCATAACGAAAATGTCAGCTTGATCCCTGTCAGTCCATTCTCTGGGGTCTGGATACTGGTTATGTATGTGAAATGCTTTAGTCATTTTCCTTGCTCTGATGAATGCCTCTATGAAAGGAACTGGGACAGAACTGGCAGTGTGCAAGCTGAGAAAGATGATGCTGTCATGTTGCTCTTCACTCAGATGTGGGAAGTTGTTTTCATAAATATAAGTTAGACTTTCTCTACAAAGAGAACTTGGACAGAATGTAATTAACTGGGGATCCTTATAGATGTTTTTTCAGACTTGAATCAGCATCCTTGTGGGAGCTGTTTCCTTTGTTTTTTTTTTTTTTTAATTTCACAGAGAAATCTTTTATGGCTCTGTTTTTTTGTCTTTTTTTTGCTTAAAGACACAGAAAAGAGAACAACTGTCACAAGGCTTAAGCCAGAGGTGCTCTGTTCTCTCACCTTCTTTTTCCTGAGGGGGGAATTAAATACACTCTTTATTTTTCAAGATTATACATAACAGATAAACAAGTGTGCATATTTTTCACAGAAGTAACAACCACTCAGACAATTCCTGCCCCATATTCCTGCTTAATCTGACTTCCTGAAAGCTTTAGAGAACCACTGTTTCTTCCCACAAATATTTTACCTTTTGCACTTTTAACTTTCTGATGTCCACACTGTGCTTGGCCTAAATTACCAAAGCATTCTCATTGTCTTTTGGACTAATCAGGGCAACATATCAGTTCATCTCACTTAACTGAGATGTCAAACTTTGGAGCTGTCTTGCCTGAGGCTCTCTAGGGGGAAGTGGTTTTCAAAACCTAAATCATCCCCAGGTGCATATCTTTCCTATGGCAGATAGAGAGTGCCAGGAAGTCTGGAATCATAATTTAGGTGCCTTGATCAGGTAGGACGAATTTGGGCTGAGGCATATAACTTTTAGGCAGAAAATATGTGAGTTTTGAAAAAGCGTCAGTCTAATTAATTCTGAATGTCTTGGAGAAGCATGGCAGAAACTGAAATATTTCTCCATTTACAAGTTCCTAACTTTTTCCTCTCCCCTTACAGAGGCTGCTACTGACCCCCCTAAGACACCTGACAGCGAACCTTTGTTTACAAAACTGCGCAATCCAAGCACAGGCAAGTTTTGGAATTGTGACATTAGTCTGTTAATGTTCCAGTTGATTCCGTCCACCACCAAAAGATTCATATTTTGCAAGCTGAAATAATGATGATAGTGTAAGTCTGACGTGCCAAAGATACTGCTGGTGATGCCAGATAGTTAATGCTGTGCAAACGTTTAGGATTTATTTTATAATTTTAATTGGTTGAAGTGTTTATTCATCAGGAATATTGGCAGCACAAAAGAAGAGGTGTAATTTAAGTTCTGTTTTTAAGTGCATTGGTTTTGGGGAGCTTGCAGTGTTGGGTGTTGAGCCTGAACTTTTTTTCAATCCAAATTTAGGCTTCATAGCATTCATCTTATGCTATAAAATAAATAGTCAGAGTTAGAAGAAGTGATTCAGTTATACTTACCAAGATTTTTGAGTCTTTTCATTTTTAAATCTAATTTTGTTCTTTCCTTGGTCCAAGTAGTGATGTCTCTTCTCTTGTTCATATATGGCACTTTGAATTCAGAATACATTGGAAAGACCAGCAAATGCAGGTGATAGAATGACACCACCATCCCACAGTTATTTTTTTCTAGCCCAGTTGTTCTTTTTGTCAAGAATTTGTTATTATTATGTGAGTAATGTAATAATTGGAGTATGAGATACTGCAACAGAAACTTGCAAGGCCTTTGTTAGGGTTAACATATTTTGTTGAAAAACACATGCTGGTTTGTTGTTTTTTTTTTTTTGTAAGCTCATTTTCTGTAGATTTAAGTTGCATGTTTTTGTTTTGAAATGCACTGCTCATTTATGTATGTTTGTAACCAAAGTTGTAAGGTACATTTTAATGTCCCAATATAGTAACTTCTCCTTGTTTTTTAAAGAGGAAAATAATTAAAAACTGTAGATACGAAATGTGAAATCACTCATCATGATACCTGTTTGATTGCTCAGTAGGAATATATAGCCATGGATATTTTCCACCTGCTGTATTATATTGGCTTTCTAATTTTTTGCATTTTTAAAAGCATAGATATTAATTTGCTTTTCTCTGTGGACGAAGAGATCTGTTTACCTTGTAGAATCAGTGATCTTGCAAAAGGTTTCTGGGGAAAACCTGAAATAAAATGATTGCCTGGGTGTGTTCCTTCAGAATTTACAGGAGCTTATTTGTAGACCTGCATAAACTTTCAGTTATGTAACCTATTATAAGTGTAGGGTCTGAAAATGGAAGGACTGAGAACACCCTATTAATGTATTTTCCTTACATTTGGGTCTAACAGATGAATTGTTGATGCCAGATATTGTATAAATAGGCACTGAAGGACTCGGCACACTATAGAATTCATGCTAACCACTTTATTAAATAAAAGTATGCATGGTCCTTTTTATAGACAGGTAAAAAGGACAAAATTTCTATCCCTTGCAAAGACTATAAATTAGGTTCAGCCTGCAATTCAGAAGTATCACAAGAAGCATTTTTCAAAGTGCTGAACGTAAAGAAGGGAAATAACCACACCACAAGACTTAAGCAACTAATTGAAGTGGTAAAGTTGTGAGCAAAGCTGCCTAGGTTCTCTCTTCATTCCCTAGAGTTTCTGTCTAATGACACTGTTGGGAACCTGTGGTGACTGTCCTTTTAACATAAACTAATAAATGAAGGAACTGAAGTTAGGCAATTGAACGGTCCCTTTCCCAGGATTTCATAGCTCACCACTGCATTTGGCTAGCACTCTCACTGATAGGAGTCTGAAATTGTTCAGTGAGCACTTCTGTGAGTAGTTTGACGTCTGGCGTTGATCAAACTGTGTAGACCCTTGCTGAGAAGCACATGGTAATGATTGAAACCTCTGCTCCTCCTTATATCTACTCTTCTCTCCTCCCCCTCCCAAAAGAAAAATTATCAGAGAACTGAAACTGTATCCTTAGGTGAGGTTAAACATCTGGTCAGCCTTTTGGATAAAGGGGGAAGAATGCATTATCAGTCATTTTTGGGAAGAAATGTGTCTGCCCATTTTAGCTGACCTCCATCCGCACCTTGGGATCTCCACAGACTGAGAAAGCGGTGCTGACATCAGCTTGCGGGGGCTTACATTGAGACTTTTTTGAGCCAGCCCATAATCTGCAAGTCAGTGCAGCTTTGCAATTTATGTGTTTGGAGTAGGACTGCCATGTTGTAGTTGCTCTTGTCTCTTGAAGATGGATTGATAACCAAGACAGGACCAGACTCAGCTGACCAAATTTCAGTGACCCCTTCTGTGGTTCTGGCAACTTTCTGCTTTAGATATGGAAAATGCCAATCCTGTTTGCAACATATTTGTCACCCTTTCATTGTAACCCAGAACTAATGTGAAATGGCAGAGCTGTGCTATGGAGTGGCCTAAAATAAAGCTTTCCTTTTCCTTTCCAAACTGTCAAGATTCTGATGGGGACTTCAAAGCATCTCCCTTTAGTTTCCTTGTTCACCTTCTTTGTCTACCCATATTGAGTCATCAGCAATCCATTTTGATGCACACACACAAAAAAAATTATTTCAAATTGTCACTTAAAGGTTTGAGACTTTTGTTCCCCGAATCCAGAGTCTGATATCTTGGAGACAAACTTGATGGGAGGAGTTTGTTTTCCACCTTCCCTCTTCAGTACAGACAAAAGCTGATTTCTTGAGTGATTTTGTTTTGTGTTTGGATCAAAGGCTTTGTGTTGTAAGATGAATTATTTGTACATCTTATGTATTGATTCAAATTCAGTTTGGTTTATAAAGCTAGTAAATGAACATCTGTATATAATAGTTTTCTTTGTCTGAGCTTTCTTTGTAGTAAGTTTATGTAGAATGTGTGTATGTTTGTGTGTCTGTATGTATATAAGGCGCATTCTTCAGACGTATTGGGTATTCTTTTGATTTTTGTGAAAGCTTACAAACACAAACCAGATTTCTTTTCAACAGGGGAAGCAACCCTTTACTTATTCAATAGTGGTGCACAGCAGCTGTTTGAAGTAAAAGCTTTTCATGAGGAATATCGTTCCTGGTTTATAGGTCAGACTGTTCAACAAGGTAATACAACGTATCCTTCCCCCAACTGTAACTAATGTTCATACACAGACCTTCCCTCTCTCTCCTAGTAAATTTACAGGTGTTTTTCCTAGTAGTTTGAGGCATGCTGCGTCACATCCCCACCTTCTGACACACTTGTTTGCCATCTGGATTTAACCAGGGCTGGGGGCTTTGTGGTCTCTTTAAAAGGCTGCCTTTGGCAGCCTCAGTTAGACAGATGTTCATTTGCCTTTGAGGAAGGGGGAGGGTGCGGGGGAAGTCATTCAATTGTGTTTAAACTGAAGTGCCATAAAATACTTAGCTTGCCTTGTCAATCAGACCAGCAAGTCCTCAGTGTAAGTAAAATACATGTTATCCTACGGGAGAGAAAAAGGGCTGGAAGGCCTTAGCTAGCTAAGCAGAGCGGTGTATTAGAGCTCCAAGATTTGGAATGTACGTTCTTGCTTTCTTTTAATTACCTCTGTAGTCCCCTGTTGTGAGTACTGGGTTCTCAGGATAGGCCTCCTGTCTGAAGGTGCAATTTCAGTGTTACGTCTGAAGTGAGCTCATCTATATGTACCATCCCAGACATTCTCTGATCTTAGCTCACCTTTCTGAAAATGAAAATCAGTAAGGATGTCATTGGAGTAGTGTTTCTCTGCCAGCATGTCCATAGACCAAGCAATAAGTATTAATTCAGGAGATGAAGGTATATTTATTTTGTCCTTTTTTAACTAGAAAAAAGACCATTTATAGTAATAAATAAAAGCAACCCCAGCAGACATATGCCTTCTTTAATGGTAATATCCCAAAGCGTGTGTTAACTTTTAAACATCCTCTGCAGGTGCATATAGCAATGCAAGCAGTATGTCTTTGAGCTTTTCCTTGCTCCACCTGGGACTGAGCCAAAAGACTGGGTCTGCTCCCTGCTCCCAATTATGTCCACATTGTATTCGCCCCCTCCCTTTCTAACCTGTATTTTGGCCCTTGAGAGACAGTTGCCTTAAGGAATCATTGCCTCCGTTTTCTTTAAAAGATACAGGAGGAAAAATTGTTTCTGAATGTTAGGGCTGCTGCATCTCTGAAACAGTCAGGGGAACAACACCACAAAAAAGCTGTGTGTTTGCAGTTAAAACAAATTATCTTGTTATCTGCAGAGGTCTTTATACAACTATAGTGAGTCTGAACTCTTCAGAACAAATAAAAATACCTCTTCCTGGAGGTACAGTGGAAAGCATTTAAATGGAAGCTTTGAGAAAGTGGCCAGTCTTTTTTTTTTTTCCCTCCAGTTTTACTATCAAAGCTTTCTGGTGCTTGCTTTGCCTCACTCAATGCATCATGTTAGTAATACAGATGTTAGACTGGACATCAGCTATATCCAAAGCATGTTCTTCCCACCCCATCTCTTGTTGGTTTTAGGACCATCACGATAAGATTTCTTTTTCTTTAATTATCTTAATCATGTAAGTTAAAACAAACAAAAACCATTTATTTGCTTTTGGTTTGCTAATTAATGTCAATTTGTCATCAATTATTTGGTCTCATTAGTGAATTTCCTTGATGCTACATTGTTTCCAATTATCTACAATTATACAAAAAGCCTAAGCCATTGTCGTGCAATGAGCTCCAGATGGGCAGAGGTGTCTGTTTCAATAGGAGACCAAGTTCTTCCTTTGTGTGTAACTTTGAATACAACATGGTGAGGCATATTTTGTGATCTATTTAACTTTATTTAGTTAGAGTAGGAGACTGCATGCAGATTCTCCCCTTACAGATGAGAGGCAGCTCTAACTTAACCAGGTCTTGAAATTCTTTCTTGCCCATCCCACCTCTTATGCCAGCAGTGTTGCCTTGTCCAGTTTGAGGTGGAGTATACTGGATAGATCTGGTATCCCAAAACAAGTTTCTGTACCACCCAAATCTGCCAATAGAGGGCAGCTTCAATTTTGCTGGTTTTAATATAGTCCAGAAAAAGGCAAAACTAAGAGTGCTTGAAGCCAGCAGAGTGCTTTGGTTTGGCAGGGTTGAGAATTGAGTTCTCTCTGTATTTTTAATATAAAATCAGAAATACTGTTTTCCTGCCCATTTTATTACAATATTGGGATACTGAAAAAAGTAATTCTCCTTCTCTTACCCACATTCCTGAAAAACATCCTAAAAAACCCAAAAAAGGCCAATATATTGTGCCTCTTGATACTAAACTTACTTTTACATATCTGTCATTTAGATGGCCGCCTGCTGTTTGTTACACCGATGGACCCCTTGTTTCTGATACTTTACTACCTCATAAAGGCAGAAAAGGAGGTAAGCCTGCTTTATTTTTTCACTGCAATTTTTAGGAGAAAGCGTTATTTCTGACTTCATTTTCTGCAGAATTTATGTTAATATTACAAAGAGAGGCTTCCATAATAATGGAAATTTAATTTGCATTTAAAGCAGAGATGCCCGGCCTAGAAGCATTTTTGTTTGTGTAAAGTTTTTTGGTCGGTAAAATATATTCCAGGAGTCAGCTTGCAATCTCAACAAACTATTCACCTCCTTTTTAAGAGAAGCAGACAATCTCTTTTGTCGTTTTGTGAGAGCCTATCCCAGAACTATTGAATTTAAGATGATGGGATGTCAGCAGAGTAAAACAAGCTAGTACCCTTTGAGGCATCAGTAGATGAGTCATTTTGGGAAAGAAGGGGAAAAGAAAGAATAATTTAGATGCTATGGAGGAGGATGAAGAAACATTCCTGTGGCAGTTTGAACTTGAAAGGAAACATTGCCTTTTTACAACCAGTATTTGTAAAGATGTGGTATCATAGAACAGCAACGGGATGGTCAAGTGTCCAAAAGTTTGATAATTAATAAATGGTTTAATTGAGTTTTGTGTGTGGGAAAACCTCACTTAAATTTCCAAAGTGTATCAAAAGGCATAGGCAAAGTTACTGATTTATTGTTTATAATCTGCCTGTGGAAAGAAAGGCATTTTAAAAAATGTGCATGTTGATTATTTTTTTTTTTTGTTTCATGGAGGCAGTAATTTCACTTTATGCATCCTAGGAGGTTTTGCTCTAAGAGCATTTCCTATAAGGTTGTGTGCTATTTTCTGCTTTAGATTGCAAGTGGAGAGTGCAGGAGAACAATTTTTGTATGGTGAAGAAATGAAGTCCTGCTAGACATTTGTAATAGTAGCCTATTGTTCTATAATTATTGTTAAATTATTTATGGTATAGGATGTGCAAATGTATTCTGTATTTCTGTGGTCTGTTCCTGCTTCAGGGTGGCCCATTAGAAGATGTCATTTCACAAGGAATAGTTTAGCTCGTTTTCTAGGCACTGTGCTCTGTTTGAATTCGGCATCTCTTTGGAAGCTTTTATGCAGAACTTAAATTAGGGAAACAGTAAATATCCTCTGTCTGTGTGGTAGAGTGCTGAGGTAGCCTGTATAGAGGACTGTCCCTGCTGTTTCTGTGCATGGGAAGAGTCCTGTACTGCCCTTTACTTTCTTGGTACATTGTTTTCTGGGCCAGGCATGGTGCCAGATAAATGCATAGAGGTGTTCTGGATCCTAAATAAGGTTGCCCTGCCTAAGTTCACATATTCTTCAGTAAAGGGGAAGTCTTGAGGCTTACCTTGCAGCTACCTCATGCAAGGCCAGCCTGAATGCAGTACAGTCACTTCTGGCTTGAACTAATGACTATCAAGGTACCCACTGGGTATCTTAGGATCATCCTTTGCACCATCCTTTGGTTTTGATAGGGTGGTGCAGGGTTGCTTTAATGTGTCTTCTGAGCAAAGCCATCTCCTATCCAGCAGACTTTCTGGTTTAGGCTCTGTGCCCCTGCACAACATAAATGTGGCTGTCTTGCTTCAGGACACAAGCAGGTTTGTGCAGGTAAGTTACCTATAGGAAACAGTTTATTGCAGCTTTATTTCTGCCTCTTATAACATGCTTTTTGCCATTGTTACTGTGCCTTTTCTTTTTTAGGAGAATAAAACTTTTAAAACCTTTCTGGGTTTTTTTATTTTGGTTTGGGTTTTTTTTTTCTTGTTTTTATTGTGCTCCAGCAATGGGTGGTTACTTAATTAAGCCTCAGACTGTCTAGCAAGAGGATTAATTAATAATGAGAGCAGTATACCCTCCTGCTGACCAGTATAATGACTTCAGCTTTGGCTCCTGAGTCCGTGCGCTGTCTAAGGATGGAGAGCTCACTGAGTCTTTGTACTGATGCGCTAAAGGATCTTTCCAAAGGGAAGGCTGCCAGTTGTGCCAAACCGTGCTGAATGATTATGCATTGTTTGGCAATGGCAAAATTTGTTTGATGGTTCTGTCATGTGTGGGGCTATTTAAGTTGTGCCAGAATCATTTTATATACATAATCTGGCCAAACTGGAATTGACTTTGCAGAGGTGAAAGGTTAATACTGTGTTCCAGAAGCTGCCCTGCTCCTTTGAGATTTATCTTTATGGAAGGAAAAGCAAAATTTCAATGGAAGTTATGACACTGGGTTTAATCCAATAGGTTTTGGTCTAAAACACTATTGGCACATACTGACTACTGTGTCTTATGTCATCTTCCAAAAAATCTTGCTGTACTTCACATTAGTTTCTCCCCATGTTGTTTTAAATTTGGTCTTTTAAGTGCAGTAATTGAAGAGTTCAGCATTTTGCAGGTATTTACTGCTTTGAAATAAATATTTATAGTTTGCTTTGTAATCAGTTTCTGAATGCATCATATGTTACCATTCAAAATATGATCTTCTTTAAATCCTTTATTTTAAAGCTATGGCCGTTGTATGCATATAGATTTCTATATATGTGTAGTGTGTATATGTGTCTTAACATTATAATGATGCTTTTATAATCCCTTTGATGTATTTTCAGCAGCAAGGAAAGTTCCAGCCACTTGATCAAGTTGTGCTAGACTCAGACTACCCTAGCTGCCCATTGCTGCTGAAGTGTGCGGATGTTAAACAGTACATACATCAAGTAACAGAAGAAAAAGGTGAAAAAAAGGGGCTGGGTGGCAAAAATAAAAAAATACTGGATTTGTTAGTGCCACATCATTATAAGATAGATTTAAATACTGCTTTTTGCTTTGCCAAACACCTAAGGTGTGCTGGATGAAGCTGTACTTTAAAAACAGAAGCTTAGGCTTAGAAGTCGTCATTGTAGTATTGTGAATAGTAATGTGTGGATCTCAGATTATGTGCTGTAACTCTAAAATACTCATGCAGTCTTGTTGCTAGATGTCATAAAAATGATAAACTGATTGGAGCTGGCTTCCGGACATTATTGTATGTGTTGTGAACTTTCTTTGCCTTTTGATGAAAGTTTTACATCTCTGAATTCTTTATTTAGTGAAGGATGGTCTGGTGTGGAAGAAGTTAACTCTTGTCCATTTGGCTTTTTTTCTCCCTTTGTCGCAAAGCATTCAAACAATAAGTAGGAAAAAGCTAGAGAAGAGAGAATATGCTGCTAAGAAAGGACAGGACAATTTTTCTAGCTTTGCATAATTTAATGTTGTGGACTTAAGTTCAAAGATGTAATTTTTTTAAAAACAGAAACCTTGATTGGGATGCATGTATGAGAGAGAAAACCTAAATTGGAAAAAAATAGCAGAGTGTCCATTCTGTACACAGTGTCTTCAACCTTTGCCTGGAATTCCCTTTGGTATGAGGACTTTTATTTGAGGACAATATATGCTTTGTAGGGAAGAGGAAGGAACATTACATATTTTTTGCAGCTTGGCAGACCTGCAAAAGATGCAAGACCTCAGATTTTATATTCAGACCTTAGGCTTGCTGACTTCCTGATAGTGAATGGAGATTTACCTACATGCACATGGAGATCTGCAGAAGGAGGTACAGGAGTCTGAGAACATGGAATCTACCACCAAGTATAAAACAACTAAGCTGTCTGACCCTTATGCATGTAGAGCTCCTCCAAGGAGGAGCACAGATTAAAAGCCAGAAATATTAGGAATTTGCTTTCACGAAGCACTCTGCCCTTGTGATTGATATATATAGGAAGACATATGTAGGTGATCTAGAGGTAATTGGGAAGTAGCAAGGAAAGGTAGTGGAAGAATGAAAACCCTGCTAAGAAGTAAAACACCAGACCTCTTTATTGCTCTATAGAATGTCAGTGAGGGGAGGTATGTAGTGTGTGAGTTTTTCCTGAAAGATTTATATGTACAAGTTTAAATATTTTCTGTATGATATGGTGCATATGCAGTAATGTAGAGCAGTTGCTTCCCCCAGAAAATCAGTTTGAACTTCAGGACAGGACATGTTTCCATTGACAATGATCACTTTAACAAGAGAGCAGGAAATCTGGGCAGCAAGACCGTTGTTACATTCTTGCTGGGACCAGGGCAGTTGGGATTATGTGGTGTTGTGGTACTCCTGGATTTTCAAAAGGTCCTTCGGACAACATATAGTTACATGCAGTATCATTGGGAGCAGGCAACCTTTTTCTTTGGGAGAGTTCTGACTTTTGAGAATGCTTAAGACAGGCGCATCTGAACTGCAAAACTACTTTTGCCTTTCCATGAAGTGGTAAATACTTACAGTAAAAACTATTATTAAACTTCTCAGTAGTTGCTGTGCCCTGCAATTTGTCTAACTGGCTAAGGAATTAGAGGTGAGAGAAGGGGTACTAAACTTCTGTGCACCTATCTGAGAAGGTGAAAAATCATGCCAGATCGTCTTGGCTATCAAACTAAGAAGTCTGTATAGGAATGGAGGACAAGATCTGGATGATGATACAAACTTTTGAAGAAGTTATGTTCATATCCTGTTTTTGTTTTGAAATGTAAGATAAAAATTGTTTTTGTCATTAAAGCTGTACACACGTGTGCACACCAGCTGTATGTGATGTTCTCGGACGTCCCTAGGCATGCACCTGCATGTACCTGCTGCTTCTTTTCTTGTTCAGGTTTGGGCTGGGTAGAAGGTAACAGTGGGACTTTTTCTTAGGATTTCTTCCTTTTCTTAGAACACCAAGCATATTGTTATGCAACAAACACGTTGGCGCTTGCTTGCCTGTCATACACAGATCCCCTTTCTGTTCAATCCACTTCTATGTGTTTCATATTCTCATGCCTTTTATTGCCTGTAAAAAATACCAATATTATGACTAAGTTACTCTTTTCTAGCTCTGAGACCTGTTGTCCACTTTGTAGCCTTTCTCGTTTAAGGAGTGGGGCTTTAGGGCAAGAAGCAGAAGCAGGTGGTCTATTGAGTCTTCTGCAGCTCTGATCTGTTTGGCAGAACCTAACAACATAATTATTTCACTCTTAATTTAATCTTAAGGCATTTAACATCTGTCTAACAAATTCTTACCCTAGAGTGCTCACAGTTTACACTTACTAAATTAGCAGAAAGTCCACTTTCTCTGGCCTCCGTGTTGAAGGGCACTGAAAATTCATTTTGCTGGATTAAATTCCTGGTTACCTGCTTTAGTAGTTGGGGAAAGGGTGTGTTACAGCTTGCTAAATCTGGGTGAGGCAGGTTGTTTGGTAATAAATTCAAACATCGGATAAAAAGTACAATAGAGAAGGTTTAAGAAAGGGTTATGAATTCCAGTCCTAGAGTGTTACTCTTTGTTTTTGCAAGGCAAAAACTGCACTGTGATCTTGTCTGATGTGATTAACATGAAGAGCCAAGAAAACTTACCTGATTAGAATAACTAAGTAATATTGCCAGGCTTGTATTCCCAGAAGGTTGGAAAAAAAAGGGGCCATACGAGTTTCAGAGTTATGGAAAACACTGAGAAAATGGATGTTAAAATGTGCTTTAGGCGGTTTGCTCAACAATACATCAGGGAAACTTCCAAGTCTACATAGCGATTACCCGATTGCTGAACATATTATTTAATTGTAGAACCACTTATATTCCATCTGTATTTCTCAAACCCAATCTTTCCAGATGTCTCAGACCAGTTTTATAGGCACCAGACACATTAGGGAACAAAAGGCTTTCCAATATATACTCATATTATCAAACATAGTCACTAACTCTCACCAATATCAAATGTGCATCACATGCTAAATCCACGTTCCAATATTGAATCCTTTTGTCAGCAGTTTGTGACTTTCATAACTCACTTTAATTCTTCAGAGGTCTCAAATATTGTCATTTTCTAGAGTTTAATAGTCAAAACTGTCAAATACAGAAAATATTTTCAAACAAAGTGATCTCTGAAGGGTTCTGTGTAATTATTTTTCACGTGTTTTAATGAAAATGGCTTCATAGTTCTACGTTTCCTTTCCCTAACTGAGTCACTCTGAATCATACTGTTGTGGGGGAGTCTGCCTGGGAATCCGGACTAGAATTACTTTTCAGCATGGGTTGGGGGATGGTGGCCAGAGGATGTCCCTTCCTCGAACTTTCTTAGATAAGAGAGGAATCCATGAATCGTACTCACTGTACTTGGACCCAAACCATGTTGGCTCTTTGAGAAGCAGGTTCAAGTATCCAGAGTGTCTCCCCCATTTTCTGCTTCTTTTCTTTCAGTCATTTAGAGCCTTCTAAGTTCTAAAGGCTGCAGCCAGCAATGTCACAGCTAATTACTTTACCTGCAACTCATCAACTTTGTGAAGCAAAGTGTGTATTAGTGGGTTTTTCCTTTTTGCTCTGAATAATTTTTGTGTTTTACTCTTCTACAACTGTTGAGATAGATTTAAACTTTATCTTGTAAACAGATTTTCTCGACCTCTCTGTACCCCCTACCATGCATACACAAAGAGCACATAATAGTTATTTGTATGCAGTTTGAAAGAGCCAAGATAAACCCCAAAGAAGGAAGTGCTGAAGGAATCATAAATAATATGTTGTTGTTTGCAAGGGGAGAAGGAAACTCCATGAACTGAGTGTTGGAATATGATACTGGATCAGTAAATGACATGAAACAGATGTAGGTATTTATGGGAATGGTATACAGGAGATTAAAACTTACTGAAGTACCTGTTAAAGAAAAAGACTGAAACACAGTGGGCTTTAAAATCTCCTGTGAAATCTTACTAGGCATTTCATTCGACTTCCAAAATGTAACTTTCTGTGAATTAATACTGAGTTTTTATACTGAAATTTCCATGAGCTTTTGTAATTTTCTCTCTCCTTTGCCTCAGGATCGTGAACTCACATATCTCCAGATAACTGATCACATATGAATAGCAACTGTTCACGATACGCTAGTTATCACAGGGGAAACACTTTCTGAAATTCTTGTATCATTGAGTTAATTTATGTTGCTCAATAAATCATAAATGAATTATGTACTTCCTCCCACGAGGAGTGTGTTTCACTATTTTGGATTCTGTATTTTCTTTTGTCACTATATTAAACTATATAAAAGAGGGATAGAAGAACAACTTTTGCTTTAGTCACCCTGTGAAGTGAGAGGGGAGAATGGGGAGAACTGATGGTTTGTCTTCACACTAACCAGCTCTCTGTCCTGGCCCCTTACTGGATGCTAGAATTCAATATTTAAGATACTATGTATAAAAAAAAAAAAGCAGTCGTGAAACCAACATTTTGTGTTGTGAACTATGTAGTTAAAATGACCAGTCTGGTGACACAGGGCAAACTACAAAGGCTTGACAAGACTCTTATTGAATTCAGGCAGCCCGAGTCTACACATAAATAAAATATGTGCTTTGCTGGACTAGGGCCTAATTAAAGAATTGTCAGGTTGTTCAGACTTGTGCATATCAGCTCAATCTGTTTATTTTTCCACATTTCCAGTATTTTTGAAACGTATTGTCCTGATATCTAACGTGCAAGCCGCAAATTAACTTTCATGCTGTATCCACAACTTAAAAGATTTTAAATGTATTGAAAATTGCAATCCAAACCAAAGCCAAATCATTACTTTTGTCCCCTTGTTTTTTTCTTTTTCTCAGAGATTGGCAGTCAGAAATTCCACAGATACAGCCAAGAGAAGACACTGAAGTGGTTAAAGAAAAAGGTATTGTGTTTCTCTTTTGCTTTCAAAATTGCTTTATGTTTAAAATGAAAATGCTTATTAGCTTATCTATATCCGTATTTGAGCCATGTGCTGTGCCTTGGTTCAGGGTACACGTCCTGTCCAAGGACAGACATCACAGTAAAGTTGTTCTTGGGAATGTGGTGAGGTATTAGAGAAATGTTGAGTTTCTCTTTCTGACGGGGCTGGCATGAAAGGGATTCGAGTGTGGGGAGGCAGAAGAAGAAGCTGAAGTTCGGTTTATTGCTGTGTTCTGTAGGCTTTGCATAAGGTACATAATTTGCTTCATCCACTTCACAGATGGGCTAGAGCAGAGTTTTGACTGTGGTGAGTTTTAAATTCTGCCATGCTTTAAAGCTGGACATAAATGCCTTGGGTTTGTGCTACAAATGGGTTTTCTCGTGAAGTTTTGGCAGTATCTCTCAGAACGGTCCTGGTATGGTTGCTGCTATCTTGATCCAATTACGCCGTTCAAGAGATCTGTACAGTATGCAGAAAATAAACTAGTGTAGCTAAGCTTGATGTGATCTGTATTTTGGTATAAAGAAGGTGAATCTCATTGTATGCATGCATATGTGCCCCTACTATGATGCTACTTCGTAGAAAAAGATTGTATGCATCACGTGATACAAGGAAGCCTTGTCATTTAAATTAGTCAACGCAAGCACAAAATCTGGTGTACTTTCTGCAATGACGAGGCATGGGGATATCTATTTTGCAATGAATACTTGAATATTTACATTTGAACAGGTACCTGCCTGCGTAGGTTGTTTAAAATAGCTTCCTCTGTCAGTTACCTCTGTTAGATGCACTGCCCTCTAAAGTCCTTCATCTTCGATTTCTATCAGGACTGCCTTTGCAATCCAGCTGAGCTCAGGCATTCTCTGTTCTCTGAGCAGGTGTATTTCTCACCTGTATAATCATGACTGTTGCATCTGAGTAGCTCAGCTCATCTTAGGGTGCTGCAAAACTGGTGCCATGTTGCCAAGGCAACATGTTCAAAGACATGCTAGTTTCTTTGCGTTTTTTGAGCTCATATGCTAGTCATTACAAATGTATATTAAATTTCACCACAGTCCATAACTTGAGTGTTTTATATGCTTGAAACAAAACTACAAGAGCTTTGTCACTGCATTAACATGTGCATAACAACACTGATACAGACATTTCATTCTGTGGTTTCCTATAGGTCAATCAAACAGTGAAAGCACTTAAAAGCAACAGTATATCTGTAGGTGAAAGGGTACATGCAGCTACATTTATCAGTGGTAAACAGATCACAGATACTACAGAAGGTAAGAAAACTATACATTGTAATTAATTCATTCTTGTGAAATCATATATGTGGAGGTAAAATGTATGATTAGAATCTAAACTGTATTGAAATTGGCCTTTGCAGTAAATTTATTCCTTGTAGAGAAAATTCCATGTATGTTGTGACTGTGTGCCTTGGCTTTTCTGAGTTCTTTAGTATCTTCATCGGATGACATTGTAGTTCAAAGATTCATAGAACAGTAGGGGTTGGAAGGGACCTCTGGAGATCATGTAGTCCAATGCCCCTGCTAAAGCAGGATCACCTACAGCAGGTTGCACAGGATGGCGTCCAGGCGGGTTTTGAATATCTCCAGAGAAGGAGACTCCACAACCTCTCTGGGCAGCCTGTCCCAGTGCTCTGTCACCCTCAGAGTGAAGAAGTTTTTCCTCATGTTCAGATGGAACTTCCTGTGTTCCCATTTGTGCCCGTTGCCCCTTGTCCTGTCACTGGGCAGCATTGAGAAGAGTCTGGCCCCATCCTCTAAACATCCACCCTTTAGATATTTGTAAGTGTTGATAAGATCCCCTCTCAGTCTTCTCTTCTCCAGACTAACTATTTAACAGTAGGTCTCACCTGGGTTTCTTTTAGCTTCTCCTTAGTTCAAGGAAGAAGGTGTTTTTCTCAGTGAAATATATGCTGATGTGCTTTGCTGAACTGAGACTGTCTTGGACAATAGCATACATACTTATATATGAGTATCCAATCAATAAATGTCTCTGTATTAGAACAGACTTCTTTATTATTATCATTATTATTATTATTATTA